GTTCGGGAGGCGGCACGGTAGATAGGAATCTTGGAAAATGTGGTTCCTCTCATATCTGGCGATCAAAAGATCTGACAGGGATCTATATCAAGAATGTCCATTATACTGAATGTTCATCTTACTAAAATTACTGTTACCTTGAATTTTAGTTTCTTCTAAATATTGAAATTTAGAGAATAATTTTTTTTAGCCATCGTGTTCAGCAGGGGTATGCCAAATATGTGGAATATGAATTATTTAAAATTTGAAATGCTCTGTTTCCATTGAGAACGTGCTTGTGATTATTTTACCTCTGTTTTGAGTTGAAAACTCTTTAACTCCAAACACTGAAAAAAGATTTTCCTCTTGAATTGGGGTAGTTCAAATTTTATTTTATTTTATTCATTTTATTGTCTTATTATGGATGGAAGATACCATTTTGATTTTCTTTTCCAGTTACAACACCTTCCCTAAGTTAGAGCTTAAGCTCTTTGACAGACCACAAGATCTCAAACTTTCATTTAAGAGGCACCCAGCTAAAAGCAACATTTCAAACAGTCCAGCGCTCATGGCAAAGAGAACCAAGCAGGTTATTTTTATTTTTAAGATATATTCAGAACTGAAATAAGTTTGGAAAAAAATGATATAACCAGCAGAAGTGCACATTCTTCTTTTCCACATTTCATGCTGTTCAAAGAGCATGTTATCCGGCACTCCTTAGATTCCTTTTAATATGTGTCTATTTTTACTCTTGTTTTGCAGGAGATAAAAGCAGCCCATAAACTCGCCAAGCGATGCTACACAAACTCCCCACAATGGGCCAAATTCCTTTTCAGTCATTGTTACAGCTTATGGTTTATTTGTCTCCCAGCCTATGTTAGAGTTTCTCATCCCAAAGTCAGAGCCCTGCAGCAAGCATATGACGTTCTCATTAAAATGAAAAAAACAGACGTGGAACCACTAGATGAAGTAAGTTAAGAAGATTGCTGTGCTATAAAAAGATAAAGAGGTATCTTTTGTCTTGGAATAATATTTATGATATTTGCCATCTTCTAGTTCAGTGCAGATTGTATAATAAGGTGCTTTGCAACACCCTTTGATCTGAGGGTGCAAAGCCATGAAGCATCTTTTGGGAAACTCTATAGAGCTGCTGCTTGTCTCCCAAGATTGGTCTGTGTGTACATGCACATACATGTATGTGTAGGAGACACTCCTGCAAGAATAGTGGATAAAATGGAGACACTTGTTCATGCTAAGCCTTCGTCTGGTTGCTTGCACATTCATACCGGGATCAAGAGAGGTTCTTGAACAAAAAAAGTCTATACCGGCCTGCTGTTTTTCAAAAGAAACCGCAATGTTCTGCAACTTTGGATTTCCAGTAATATACTTTTAATTCCAATCAATTCTAAATAAGATAGCTTGATATAGTTTGTAAAACAGGCAAGCTACAGCTCATTTTAATGCAGTAAGAAAATATTTTGTTAACAACCTGCAATTGATGCCAGATGACCCCATCATGGTTTCTGTGCATTCCTGGAATTACCAATAGAATTAAGTCTTTTTACTTGTAACATAAATACCTATTATTATTTTTTTCTAGATTAGATCTAAAAGTAGAGAATTTTCTGATGCCTCTCCATTCTTTTTTTTTTCCCTTTCATTTGGAGATATTCTTAGCATGCTGTAGATATTCTCACTAATAAAATCAGTTTCATTATACTATTAATTATCCAGAAATCGAACTCTCCTGTAATTTTTGGTTGTGATTATTATGAAGTAAGAAATTTAATAATTACTTGAGATTACGCCATCTTACATTCAAATGCTCCTTGTGTATGAAATTTTACCATTCATTTCTTCTGTTAAAAATGCAGACTAGTAGGTAAGAACCTGACATTTTGGAAAATAAATAATTAAAAATGGCACCATTATTATATATGATGAAGGAAAAGGAAATTGCTTGAATCTTCTGTACATTTTAAAAAAGTTAGTCAGAAACTGGTCTCTGCTTCCACTCGTACTATAATGGAGAATCAATTTCTTAGCTCAAACATCTTCACTTTTGTGCCAAGCACTTTTCCTTTAAATTTGGCCTTAGCCTAGAACAGTGGTAGGCAACCTTGGCTCTTTTATGACTCGTGGACTTCAACTCCCAGAATTCCTGAGCCAGGAGAGAAATAGAGAGAAATAGACAGCTGTACTAAAGAGGTTGATGCAAGGAACTGTGAGCAGAGCCAGGGAATCTATAGGCAAAGAGAATGATAGGGCAGGAACCTTTAGGTGTATGTCTGTCGCATAGCTTGTGGGTTCATGAAGAGCTGGGCAGATGTGTTGAAGACCTAGCTCAGTCCAGCTGCAACAGGGTCAGGAATGGAGTGCATGATGGAATGGGAGTCTTGAGCAAAACAGAGTGGAAATGTGGGAAAACCCTGGATATTGATCCTGCAGAAGAGAGGGATGGAGATCTTAGAGAAACAGACTGGCTAGGTCAGGGGTTGGCAACCTTGGCTCTTTTATGACGCGTGGACTTCAACTCCCAGAATTCCTGAGCTAACTCTGGGAGTTGAAATCCATGCATCATAAAAGAGCCAAGGTTGCCTACCCCTGGGCTGGGTTGTTCTTTTCCAGCTGAACACTCAGATAAATTGTCAGAGGGAGACGAAGCCCAGTGTGCAGTTGCCAGTTTGTCCAAGCACTTAGGTCCTAGGACAATCCTCAGATTTGCATCCTTTCCCGCCCCCCGCCCCCCAGCGTGCAGTAAAACAGCTAAGTCACAATTCAATCCCATCTGGCCTGGACATGCTGGCTTTCTTCCTAACCCTAACCTGGAAGAGGATCTTAAAATATTTATGAAAATGCCTTTCTCGACATAGCTAATGTAGCATAGGCACACCAGTTACATTATTGAACTAAAATCCAGGAGGGTGCTAATCGACTCCCAGTCATGGGAAGGCACATGGATGGGCAAGTTACTCTTTCTCGCAGCCCAACCTATCTGTTGTGGAAATAAAATTAAAAGAATATCTCTTCCCCCCCCCTCCCCCAGCCCTCTTGAACCCTGGAGAAAAACAGATGGTAAGTTAGATGTGATTAAGCAAGTATCTTGACATATCTGAATTATCTGAATTAAAATGATACAAAAATCTAACAACTGCAATACAGTACCCTTTAAGTACTTAATCTAAGAAAAGATTGCAAGGATTTTTTTTTTTTTTTTTTTTGTAATGCTAGACAATTTGGTGTGGTTGGCTTTCTATGGATTGCCTTGTAAAAATGGGTAGTTTTGCCTTCCTGCTATATCAATGGGTTTATTGAGTTTGGCAGCAGCTGAGAGAATTGGACCAGAAGTTATATAATATATGGTATGTGTTTGGGATATTATTTTAATAGGTTGGCAGCTTTCTAATTCAGTGGTAGAATATCTCTTGCTTTAAACAAGTATTCCTCTGCTGACTGATGATACGTGCCAAGAGAGACTTATATTGTAAGGATAGCCACACTTGATGCTTTACTGTTGATAAAATCTATACTTTTTTCAATATTTATCAGGTGTGTTATAGAGTTTTAATGTTGCTCTGTGGACTTTGGGGTCATCCTGTCCTGGCTGTGCGGATTCTCTTTGAGATGAAAAATTCTGGCATAGAACCAAATGCAATTACTTATGGTTATTACAATAAGGTAAGCAGAAAAATTAGTAAATATTATATAACGAAGATTTTATAACTTCCTTCCTTATCATTGTTGGATAACAGTGATATAATTCTATCTGACTAAGATTGCAGGGAATGGATTATAAGGGTGTCATGTATGTTGACTATTTTGGAAATATTTCTCTTAGTAATTTTACTCCTTTAGGCAGTTTTGGAGAATCCCTGGCCTAGCAGTAATCGCAGCGGTATATTTCTTTGGACAAAATTGCGGAATGTGGTACACAGTATGACACAATTAAGGCAATGTCTCAAAAAGACTACACATACTTCACAGGTTGCTTCAATACCAGGTAATGTCACAATCCTTAATTGCCATAAAGAAAATATAAATCTTGCCACTTCAGATTAGTGATAAACTCTTATTATGGGGTGATGTGGTTGCATGTGAGGAAACGGGCACAATTAAAATGCAAGCGCAGAGTATCGTATGGTGCAGTGCAATATGTGTGGGGGGGGAGGTATGTGCTGTTTTCATAAGCGTTTATGTCTTAAATAGCTATACAGTGAAGCAGGAGTTTTGAGATATCGTTAAAAGGAAGGGGTGTGTGAGAATTCGTGCTTTGCATTCCCAAGAACAGCCTGAGATACACACATTGATTTGGATTCGTGTTCATTTGCCAAAAAAGGTCTTGGGTCAATCCTTCAGTAATGCTGTGTAGATTACCATACTGCTGCTCCTTGGGTTGTTTTTTTTTTTTAAACTAATATATTATTGTTCCTGTCCTCAGCTTCACAGAAGATCCCAGGTGGAAGTGATGGGGACACGGTGAGCCATGGTAGTGTGGATAGTTCTAATGATGCTAACAGTGGGGAGCACGCACTCTTCGTCAGAGACTTAGTCAGGCTTGATTCCATTGATAATCACTCTAGCACAGGTATTAGATCTGTTGGGGTTCACTAACTTTGCAATGTCTTTCTAATACGCTGCCTTCCTTAATATTGTTTCTGTTACAAAGATTGTGTGTTATAGAAAGAGGAAATTTTTTTTTCCTGTTCCATGCCAATCCCATGAATAACAGAATCTAAAATGGGGTCCAAATTTCTTCATCGAGAAGCAAATCACATGGGGGACATGATAGCAGTGTTCCAATATCTCAGGGGCTGCCATAAAGAAGAGGGAGTCAAGCTATTTTCCAAAGCGCCTGAAGGCAGGACAAGAAGCAACGGAATGAAACTAATGAAGGAGAGAAGCAACCTAGAACTAAGGAGAAACTTCCTGACAGTTAGAACAATTAACCAGTGGAACAACCTGCCTCCAGAAGCTGTTGATGCTCCAACACTGGAAGTTTTTAAGAAGAGACTGGACAGCCATTTGTCTGAAATGGTATAGGGTTTCCTGCCTGAGCAGGGGGTTGGACTAGATGACCGCCAAGGTCCCTTCCAACATCATCATCATCATCATTATTATTATTATTATTTAGATCACAAGTTGGGTGTGTATATGCTTAGTTTATGCAGCTGTTGTAGGTAGCTTTTTTCTGTCTCTATCTTTTAAAGAGAGAAATAGCTAATCAGCTGGAAGAGGAAGAGGCAAGGTGGAAAAGGATAATATTAGTTCAGTGTAAAGAATTGTGGTATTATATGCCAACTAGAACTTTTACGTTTATTCTGCCTACAACTTCTTTGGCCTTTCAGCACAAGTGAATATATGGGAGGACATAGTGTGCACTGAATCCTGATATAATTATGTGATCCCAGGAAATATATGTTTGAGTGAAGGAGGCACCGATAGTTTGCTGCGACTGGTGCTCTTTGTTTCTAATATATATATTCCTGGGGATTGTTCTATATCCCAACTACTTGTGTTGGAACTTGGGTAAAATTTTAGTGAGGGCAAAGGAATGTGTTCATACGAAATATGGAATGCTATGTTTCAGAAAATTTCACAGTAACTTGCATTAGGTGGGGAGCATTCTCTATTTAGCCCAAATTTGGTCATTAAAGATAAATGTGGAAATGATTTTTAAGTGCAGATAGCTGAATCTTTCTGAAAAGAGTTTCCTGACTCTCGCTTAGCTGCAAGTTACATATTTTAAATGAAACAAAGATAATCTTATTTTAAAAATCCTGCTCTTAGACATAAGTCTGAAAGTTGTCCCATTCCTCAATTTTCTCTACTAAACTTTCTGACTTCCTTCTTTTTAAAACAATTTTAGTCTTTCTCTGTTTTGTGTAGATGGCTTCTTGTATTTGTCTAGTAGTAGATAACTAAATATTCCTTCTCTCTGATCCTTGTTGCTTTGCTTCTTGCTCTGTGCTGTCTCTTGATGCTGCATTTGTCCTTGGCTGTCATGGTGTGGGGTGCAGACTTGTGTGGTGCGAATCCTTGGAGGCAGATGTGCATTAATTCTGCTGTTGAATGTTAAACCCTGCAGGTAATTTTCCCATGAATTAACGTAAATCAATATAAAAACAGTGGCTGACTTTTCGACGTGCTGTTTTAAGTAATAGCAAGATACTTTGGAAACACATACATAGCATACACTTCAGATTTCATTAATTGATGGAATTTTGCTCCCTCCATTTATTATTAAATAATAAGATGTTGTGTTTCTTCAGTCTAGGATTTAACTGTTGTTCAAGTTGCAAGCCTTTTTTTACTTCTGGCCACATTCATATAATCAAATGGATATAACTAGAAGAGTCTCGACAGAGACAATCTGTCACCATTTACTGTAGGACAGCGTTTTTTCAAACTTTGCATGCTGGCTGAGGAATTCTGGGAATTAAAATTCCATCCTGTAAAGTTGCCAAACTTGGAAAACACTGATTTTTTTTTCAAACTGATTATGTAAGAATTTCAGCCTATTAAGTCCCAGCATTTGTTTTTTTAACCTCTGAATATGTTGGAATTCTCAATGAATGACGGGAGTTATAGTCACAGTTAATCTTGGAGCCACTTGGTTGGGAAAGGCTATACTGTATTAGATAAGAAAAGCACCACTCTTGAGTTTATAGAAGGTAGCACAGAGCTAAATTCTGTAGCCAAGGAGAGTAGGGCTTATACCAAATTAGTAGAATTTAGACAAGATTAATACAGGGGAGATATGAACTTAGATACGCATATAAAGAAATAAACCCTAGCAACGAAATCATTTTACCTCAGAGGAAAGAGGTTCAAAGGGAATTATAGGGTCCTTGATATGTGCCGTTTGAAGAGCTGATTTTGACTTATAAAGCTCTTTATATTTTGGCGTCTGGATACCTATAGCACAGGGTAGGCAACCTTGGCTCTTTTATGACTCGTGAACTTCAACTCCCAGAATTCCTGAGCCAGCATGGCTCAGCTTGGAAACCTCTCTCTTTCCCCTTTAGCATGGCTGGCTCAGGAATTCTGGGAGTTGAAGTCCACAAGTCATAAAAGAGCCAAGGTTGCCTAGCTCTGCTATAGCACCACATACTCCAACCAGAGTGGGCCTGGCTTCCTTGGTCATATAGGAAGAAACCGCTGTAAGTGGCCACTTAGAGGAAATAAAAGGGTTCTGAGGCTTCTTCACCTTTGTGGTGCTGGTTCTGTAGAACAGCCTCCCTGTGAAAACCAGGCTGGTGTCCTCCTTGGATTGTTCTGGAGTACCCTGATTACATTGGGCCATTTCTGTTTTATTTTTTGAGTTGTTGTATTCTCGAGTTACTGTTACTATTGCATTGTTTTGATTTTATGCTGAATTTATTCCTACCGTGGACATTTTTAAGCCTTTTTAAAAAAAAAAAAAAAATCTGGTCAAACCCTGAGAGTCATTTGATTGTAATTGATGAAACAAACGGAAATGAATGTGATTCTTATTCCTCTGTTGTGGGTTACCTGTATCAACTTCTGTTAATGTTCAACCAGCAATAATATGCTCTGCAAAAATTACATCTCAAACATACCTCTCACCACATCTCCGCTGCTGTTTTTTCTTCACTGAATTTCAAAATACGCTTCATCAATTATTTTCTGTTTTAAAATAAAAAATTTCACGATACGCATTTCTCACAATTTAAATATTGATGTTCTGAGGGCAGAGAGAGAAAAAGCAAATGGACAAATCTTGTCTCTTCCTCCCCCCCCCCCACAGGAGGTCAGTCAGATCAAGGCTATGGGTCTAAAGATGAACTTATAAAGGATGACGGGGACCACCTTCGTTCAACAGACGTGCTTACGGAGAAAGATCTTGCTGCAAAAGAAGACTTAATTGGAGGTGCGTTAGAGGGACGGTAGAATTTTTCTTTTAAAATATGCTTTCTAAATTGGACCTACACAGAATTGGTTTTATCTGGCTTGATAACAATACTTATGGAAAAGATCTTGATATAGTACAAGTAGTCCTCAACTAACAACAGTTCATTTAGTGACTGTTCAAAGTTAACAGTAGCGCTGAAAAAAAGTGACTTATGGCCATTTTCTCACAATTGTTACCTTTCTAACATCCCCACGATCATGTGATCAAAATTCAGATGCTTGGGCAACTGGTTCATACTAATGACCATTGCTGGGTCACAAGGTCACGTGATCCCCTTTTTGCAACCTTTGAACAAGCAGAGTTGATGGGTAAACAAGATTCACTTAACAACCGAGTTACTAACTTAACCAACTGCAAGGATTCACTTAACAACTGTGGCAAGAAAGGTCGTAAAATGGGGGCAAAACTTACTTCACAAATGTCTCACTTAACAGCAGAAATTTGGGGCTCAATTGTGGTCGTAAGTCAAGGACTACCTGTTGTTGATTAAATAAAAACAGGTGGTCCTCGACTTACGTTTGGTTAGCGGCCGTTGGAAGTTACAACTTCACTGAAAAAAATGACTTGTGCTTGTTTTTCACACTTACGACAATTGCGGCCCCTCTATAGTCACATGATCAAAATTCAGATGCTTGGCAACGGGCTCATAGTTATGATGGTTGCTGTGTCCCTGGGTCTTATGATGATCACCTTTTGTGACTTCCTGACAAGCAAAGTCAAGGGGGAGGCTAGATTCACTTAACTGTATTACTAATTTAAACAACTGCAATGATTCACTTACCATTTGTGTCAAGAAGGGTTGTAAAATGGAGCAAAACCCACTCAACATCTCTCTTGCGCAATAACAGAAATGTTGGGCTCAATTGTGGTCAAGGACTACCTGTAAGAGTCAACACAGTATAATGTACTGTAGATGTAAAAAAAAAAAAAAAAAAAAAGTCCAGCTACAATTATAGGTTGTATCCACAGAATATAATTTCTAAATTTTGGGAAGAAATATTTCCATTTCCACTCTTCTGTTTAGTTCTGGGATTACATTTTAAGGATACAGACTGGAAAAGATTCAAAGAAGAGCAACCAAGATGATTGAGACTAATATTTATTGGATGTGTTTAAAGCAGAGGTTGGACAGCCATCAATGTGGATGGCTTGGATTCAAATTTGGATTCCTGCATTGAGCAGGAATTGGCCTGGATCGCTTAAATGGCCCTTTCCAACTGAGTGTTTCTGTGATTTTAAGTTTAATTGGGATCTGGTGGCAGAATTTACATTCTGGAATGTCACTTTTATAGAGGATTATCTTGATTGATTTTGCTTGTATATCATTCAAAAGTTGGGATTGCCTGGGTTGTGCGCAGTGAGTTGAAAGACATTAAGCAAGTAAATAGGAAAAGGGAAGCAGCATAAGAACAATAATAAGGCACAATAAGTATGATAAAAATCAGGCAGAATTAATACTGCCAGTAAATATAGCATAAACTACAGCAAACTTTCAAGTCCTAAAATAACTACGTGCTTCTTAAATTGCTTGGAAAATAAAAATAATCATCAAAGTGATACTAAGCAGAACAGAAGGTGAGGTGAACATTCTTTAGAAAATATTCCACAGATGAAGACTACAACGGAAAATAACTTTAAAAAAGGTTCCAAAATTACAGATAAAATTTGTTTCTTTTTAAAGTACTTTTGGGGATAATCTACCAAGCCTACCATTTAAGAAATTCTTTCTCTGCTGCAATTTTTTTCCCCTACTCAAGATTTTGTTCTCCATTTTAAATACATTGTTATAATACGGATGGCCGTGTTATTGATTGGAGGGATAAAGCTGCATATACAGATAAATGTGCTGAAAAAGGATTGTCTTGGCTGCGCTTTTTGGAACATGACTTAGACCCTCTCCAGGTTTATTGGAAAATACATGCTGACTGGAAGTTTTGGGAAATGTCAGTTAGGTGCTTGCTATTAGACACGGCATTCATTTTTCTCTACTTTCACTAGTAAGGAAGTCAACTCTCTCTCTTTTCCTCCTGTCTTCTGAAGATTTTTCTAGCACCAATGAATCTGCAGAAAAACAGCACTCTAATACAGAATCTCAAAGCCTAGTGGAAATGCCTGTGTATTCTACAAGCAGTATTGTGAAGGTTCCCTCTGGTATGTTTGTTTATCCTGGCAGGAAAAGCAGCAGTGGTAAGCTAATCCATATATTTGGTTTATTAGAAATAAAATTAGAAATCATTTATGCTGTGCTTGACTTGTTCAAGAGAAATGAATTTATTATGTGAAAAACATTTGAGAATAATTAACATCCAACCTTGCTTGGAACTTCCTACATCAGTGGTTCTCAGTCTATGGTCCAAGGACACCTGGGGGGGCATGATATTGTCACAGGTTTGAAATAATGTTATGATTTAAATCTTGAGTTACGTCTTGGTAGTCTGTGGCCACAAAAGGTATTTAAAGGGGGTATGTGGCAAAGAAAAGGTTGAGAACCACTGTCCTATATAGCATAGTGATACTTCTGTGATTTTTAGGCTCTTGATTAGAAGCCAAATAATGGAAAATACCCAGTCTAAGGACTTGGTACTCATTTAACAGATGATGATGATGATGATGACTCTTTTCTTACTGTAATCTCACTCCTTATATATATATATTTACTCTGTTTAAATTGCAGGAATATATGATTCCCAGTAGTTTTGTAAACATTATAAAAATTAAATGAGGCTCATTTGATAAATGTGTTAAAACCTCTAATTTAAAAAAAAAATATTTGTCTTCTCTTACTGCAGTACAGATCAATATTAAATTAAACTTGATTTAGCTTCCTCAAATGTTCCTTGCTAATTCTTAATATTAATCAAAGGTCCTGATTAAGAAAACCAGCAGTCTGTGTGCCATTTCCCCAATGGAGGTTAGCAACAGCAGCAGCTGGTTAATCATGTTTAAGCTGTGAAGCTAATAAGAATCAGCTTGGTCTGGGAGATTACAAATTACATATTAGTTTGTAAGGTTGAAAAATGTCTTGGAAGAAGGAAATGGCAAACTATGTTTCCAAGGAGGGGGCACACAATTATCAGGATAGGAGATGATCTTAATAATTAATGTTTGGAAATAATCCTTGTGTCTTCTCCTTACTGGTTGACTTCATGACCACCTTTTTGGCTGACTTCATGACCAAGATTTATAAAAATAACACTTTTTAAAGAAAATCAAGAATGATCATTCTCAGTTTCATAACGACAGGGCATGTTCAGTGTTTTGCATGTAGTCATGAATTGTTGCGTTATAGGAGGTGTTTCTGTTTTCTTTTGTGTAACGAAGTTATATGTAGCATCTATGTGCATATGCACTTTCTCCCCAGGGACTAATCGTGGTGTGTGATTAAGTATTGGTTGTGTACCTGTAAGGGTCTAATCAGAGAAGACGTATGTTTTGTTTCTCCATATGATCAGATCCTCCATCGTGTGTTCACATACTGTATATACACAGAGAAACAAAATATGCCTCTTCCCTGATTAGATCACATGTATAGGCTCTGTATGTATTTGTGCACACATGAAATAGTCTAATTAGAGTAGTCCCTTTTGCTATGTCTGTGATTCTGGTTTTGTTCTGCTTATGACATATCTGTGTACATTTCTGAATATTTATGCCCTGGAAAGCACAGAGTAGGCTGCATAACTTTCATTTTGGGTCATATAACAAAGAGAACTTGGTAGTATTCCAAACCATTACTCAGTTGCCTCTCCTTGAATAATAAATTGCTGGGGTTTTTTCCTGGAATTTTTTTTTCTTCTACAACCTCTAGCCAGATTCTGTTGTCTGTTTTTTGTTGTTGTTGTTATTGTTTTTTTTTTTGTCAGATTACCAAATTTCCTTTCATTCTGTTCCGTTTTCAGAGAGTTATCTTGCCAGTGGGTAGACAGGCAGAATCTTGTTCTCTTTTCCACATATTTTGTTACCATTCTCTTACAGAGTGTAACTAAGAAAAGCATGACCGATTGATTGAAATGATCTATTACCTTAGAAAATCCTAAAAGAAGCAAATTTTCAATAGTCACTTAAAATGAGTCACTTAAATTTTCAATAGTCACTTAAAATCAATACAATTAAGGACATAGCACATTTCTGTATGCTGATTTTTGTTGCCGAGGCATCCCTTTTCCATGTTTTCTCTAATAGATTTTTTTTAAAATGTGCTTCATGTGAGCTATTATTTTAACACTGACCTGTATGTTTTTGTTTAAGGAACTGCATCCTCTCCACTGTTCGTTGTTCAGGACTCTATTGAAGATTCTGTGTTTAATTGTAATAGTTCTCCCAAAAGAGCAAGTGAAAAAGGGAAGAAGAGGCAAAAACATTTTTCTGAAAGGAGTTGCAGTTTCAGTACTGAAAGCAGAGCAGACATGTTGCTGAAGAAGAACAGCTTAGATTCCAACTCCAGTGATCTTGCAATAATGATGGGAGCAGATGCAAA